CAGATCCTATTGTGGCCCAGGGAAAAGGAGAGCAGCCTTTACCAGTCCACCCAGCTCCATCAATTGTCAACTAATAACGGAGCAGCACATTACGTATCATAGCTGGTGCATGCTAATTAAATGTCTAGCAGATGGATGGCGAATGGACACCATTAAATGACCATGTGTGTGCAAAAGGGGAAGAAACAGTGGGGTGTGAGAAGAGGATGGAAGAGGGTCCGAGTGTCACTCACCTGAGGCCCCTGGGGGCAGCAGGCAGAACAGCAGCAGCAGCTGGCAGCGGAAGGGTCTGTGATGGGCACGCAGACCCACCATGGCCCCATCAGGGCACCCGAGGCTCCTGCCTAACTAAGAGAGAGTCCCTCTCTTCCGGACACAGGAGTCCTGGGAGGATGGGGATCAGGCTCAGGTTGCCAACCTCAGCCCTCCCGATACCCCTGCTCGCTCCTATTACCCTCACTGCCCCGATAACTCATGAATTATTCACCTGATAATTCACTCTATCCATGCAAGGTGAGGGAGGGACAAGCGTGGCCGAGAGGACCATGGCCTCCGCCCTTCCAACTGAATGGTATCGGAGTGTCACTGAACGTGGTGGAATAAGGCCTCCAGCCTCAAAACCCGCCAAATGCTTGATACTGGGCTTCCGAGGAAGGGCACCTAAGGTTTAATACATCGATGAATGGCCTTCATCCCTTCTTGGGGTGTCCCCATATTCTGCGGGAAGCTAGAGGTGGAGGAGGAGGAGTCAAACACAGTGAAGGACTATGGGATTTCAGGAAATTTCTGGCTTCTTGGAACTTTGGTAACTTTATAGATAGATGGGGTTACACTCTAAGTTATAACATATTGTATACATGACATGAAATTTATATTAGTGTGTGGTGGACATTTGGGTGTTAGTAATGTCCTGTCTCTTGAGTTGGGTAGGGCCACAGTTCATAAAGCCTTAAAATTTTGTGCACTTTATGTTTGATATGATTCACACGTGCGTACATGGGAACATGTACACATATACAGGTGAGCACTGCCTAGCATGCAGTAGGTGCACCATTTGTGCTCCTAGCTGGATTTAACTGACGAAGTCTGGCGCCTAGAGCTGCAGCAGAGTTCAGCATTTTGTTTTGTTCTCCAGGGTTCTCTGATTCCTCCCTCATCTTGTGTGTCTCCTATCACGTCCTGCTACCCTCATGGTGTTTGAATGACAGTCTGAGACGGGGTCAGATTTTTCCATCCCCTGTGGCAAGGTTGAGGGGAGGGTGAGATTCCTGGACCCCAGTGAGAAGGGGGATCTGATGTCTGGTGTCAGGTTCTGGTGACAGGATCGCTGTCAGAGGCAAGTGCTAGGCAGGCCCTTCCTAGGTCCAGAGATGCTCTGACCCTTGTCATTTTGCCCTAGGACAACAGGCCTATGAACAGACCCTGTCTCTTTCTCCCCTAACCCATGGCCAAGGTCTCCTATCCCCCATCCCCTCAGCTCATGGGGTGGAGAACAGACTAATGGGTGGCCCTTGAAGCTCTGATTTCAACTATGTAGTGAGGATAGGTGTGCCCGAACCTAGAGACCAGTTCCTATGGATCATTGTTTTGACCTCCATGTTTCTCAAAGCAGGAATCTTCAGAACCTCATTAGATGCTGGAGAGATTGCTCAGTGGTTAAGCACTTGCCATGCAAGCCTGAGGACTGGAATTTGGATCCACAGAACCCATGTAAATGCCACGTGGGCATGGTAGTCCATCTGTAATTCCAACCTCAGAAGGCAGAGACAGGGGATCCCCAGTTTGATAGAGAGTTCTGCCTCACTGAATCAAGTTGAAGACCTCAGGCCTCCAATTGCACAGGTATTGCCCCCTACATGTGTGCTTCCACAAATGCAAACATATATGCACACATGCAACCAACACGGAAAAAGAAACACACTTAGATTTGGGGGCATAGAGTGGAGGACCTTGAACTGCCTTCCACCTCAAGGTATGCAGTAGCCTGTCTCTGGGAGAATGTAGAGCCAGGCCAATGTGAATTAAGAAACTTTTACAGCATGCTCCTGTCTCTGAGAAGGGTTTGTTCTGCACCAGAAGTTACTCTATGCTGCCTGCAGAATTAGCTCCTGTATCTCTTTCTGATCTAGGGGCAGCAGGATCACAGAAGATTCAGGTGGGCTTTTCAGTTCACACTTTTTTTTTTTTAAATAAGGGACACCCAAGGAAAGGAAGTCAGGGAAAGAGGCCTATTCATCAGTTTTCTCCAGGGAAATAGAACCAACAGGATGTATGGGTATATATAGCAAGAGTTTTTTTTTTTATTTTACTTTAACTTTTTGTTGTGCTGAGCCTTACACATGCTAGGCAATCACCTGACCACTGAACCACACCCAAGCCCCTTGGGAAGAGGTGTGTTACAAGGACCCAGTCCATGTGATTCTGCAGCCTGATAAGTTGTGGTACCTAAGAGAGCTGGTTTTTCACTGGGAGTCTGAAGGCAGGGAAAGTTGGATGGCGTAGGTGTTTTTGACAACTCCATGGGAAAGTTCTGCCAGGCACATTTTTTAAGTGTGCTCAAATTCTCTCCACTTTTGTTCTCCATGTGCCATCTTGCTCTCCAGCTCTGGATATCGTCCAGTTTGTCCCTGTCTGCTCCAACACAGCGGTTCGCTCTGCCCAGCCAGGGGTCTGCAGAACTGCTAAATTCCTTCTCTTCTGATGGGGCTACTCAAAATCCTTTCCCAGCTGTACACAGTGTCAGGGTGCTCTTGCTCCTCTTACGTAACATGTTTTGACCATTGGGAAATGATTGCACTGCTCCATCTTGAGCCTTCACCCAGGCCCATGAGGAAGGCTGGGAAGACCTTCCTACATCTGAAAGGGCCTTCCAGCTCTTCACTGTGTCTCTCGACCATGTATCCATGCGAATAACACAGGCACCCAGGTTCCCTACCACCGCTCCCCATTCCACCTCTGCCCTGCCACAGTTAATAGCTACATCAGACTGGCTGCTAGGTAACTCAGAGTCAGGTAACTCGGGTCCTTCGACCTCTTGTCTCCTCACCTCTCTGCCTCTTAGAGACAACAGTAGTTGTCCTTTTGTGCTCTGTGCTCTAACCCAGCTCTCGGGCCTGTGTAACCATTTTGGAACTTGACTGCAGTATCAGGGCTTTAGAGAGAAGCAGAGTGTGGAAGGACGGATAGCTGGGACAGGGGGAACAGATGCTTCTGGAAGTTAATAGCTATTCCATGTGCACCTTTTGGAGCCCAACACGGGTCCCTGGGGACACCAGCAGGAGATGAGCTGAGGATCTGGAGAGGACACGGGTCAGAGGCTCCACGCTCAGCGCATCCTTGGCTGTGCTCAAAATGGAGAGGAGGGACAGAGGGACAGAGGAGCAGCTAAGGTCACCGATCAGTCACTTTGCAAACTGCACCTTGGGGACTGGAGAGGAAATGAAGGAAGTCGTTGCTGGAGTGGCTGGGAAAGGGAGATGAGCGTGTCAGGGAGGAAGGAAGGAGCAGAGCAGTCGAGGGTGTGACAGGAGCTAGCACACCTGCTGGGCTGAGGGAAAGAAGGTCTCGTGTCTGGTGCCAGAAGTCTGGAAATGAACAACCTTCCACCTGCTTGGCCATTCCAGGGGCCTCTTCACATCAGGCCTTTCCTGGGTCCCTTTGTGTAAAGCCTTCCTTCTCTATCCCTGTTTCCTAGGCTAAAAATGTGACTACAAGCCGGGCGGTGGTGGCGCACGCCTTTAATCCCAGCACTCGGGAGGCAGAGCCAGGCGGATCTCTGAGAGTTCGAGGCCAGCCTGGTCTCCAAAGCGAGTTCCAGGAAAGGCGCAAAGCTACACAGAGAAACCCTGTCTCGAAAAACCAAAAAAAAAAAAAAAAAAAAAAAAAAAAATGTGACTACAGGGTTGGCGGGTAACTCAGAGAGTATGTTTAGCATATGCAAGGGTTTAGGTTCTGTCCTCAGTCACACACACACACACACTCACACTCATACACACTTTACTTATTCACTTTGAGTCTAGTTTTTCTTCTATAACATGGGATTGATCATTATCAGATAATATCAAAAATTATTGTTAATTTGATTATGTAAAGTAAGACTTTCATGAATACGCATTGTTTCTATCTTTTTATTTATTTACTTATTTTTTATTTTTTGTGTTTCTATCTTAAAATAAATATTAAAGTATTCATTGATGAAATATAATAATGTATTTCATAAACCTTAAATACATCTGCAAAAATAAAATTGATGACACTTCAACCATATGTCCAGTTCTACACTGCCACAGGGATTATGAGCAGAAGCTAAATTTTTCCTAATTTTTTAGAAGTCTGAAGTTATGGAATAGGTGTGTGAGGTATGTTGAGGGAGAGTAAGGATCAAGGCCTGTGGGGGTGGCTAGAACAGATGAAGAGGTTTTCTTCCTCAGAGGTCAAGAGGCACCCAGAAAGGAATGAGCCTGGGGAAGGCAGGCTATGCCCCAGGGCAGAGACGTGACTGCCACCCTTGATGCACAGGCCCACTGTAGTCAGGGATAAGGGATATGCCAGCAGCCTGGACTGAGGGGAGCAGAGGCCTGTCCCTGTTTATGGTGTCTTCCAAGTGTCAGTCTGTGGTTTCTGTTATGACAGAAGAACAGAGATGGTAATTTAGAAGGATCAGCTCCGGGAGGTTCAAGATCAAGGTGCTGGAAGGCTTGACTGTCTGGTGAGGGCTGCTCTCTGCTTCTAAGACTGTGCCTTCATGCTATGACTCTGGAGGGGATGAGTGCCATGTCCTAATGTGGCAGAGGGCATGAGGGCAAAAAGGAATAAAGTCCCTTCACCAGCCCCTTGATAAGGGCACCTAATCCCGTTCCCAGTGATGGTGTCTAACTGCTTCTTATAAGCCCATCCGGTAATAACATTGCCCCAGAAACATGTAACTTTTGGAGACCTCTTCAAAGTATAGCAATGCACCTCCTAGATTCTGGTGGACACTGGAAGGGAGAGAGAGCCCCTGCAATCAATCCGATTTTAATGAAATAAAGGAAATGTGTGTATTTTTGCACACATACGTTTGCAGAGTAAGATTTCCCGTTGCTGTGATTGACACTGCCGTCATTCCTATCAAACAGCATGGGCTGTGACGTTCGGTCTCAACGGGTGTTAAGTGCCGCTTGGTGCCAACAAAATGTCCAAGTTTCCCTTCCCAGCTTTCAGCTGCCAGGTTCTTTCCTGGATTTTCCCTCGATAGAAGCAGCCGGGGCTTCTCTTAGGCCTGAGGTGACAGTGTGGAGACCGTTTTTGCGTCTGTGGTAAAAAGGCCTGTCTAGAAGACACAGTTAACACCTGAGCTGAATCCGATGAGCATCTGTTCACACAGAGCAGAAGGGGCATCCATCAAGGCCAGCCCTTAGCCCTTGACTGCAGGCCAGGCACCTGGGATCTGTGGAGAAAACCAGAGTCCACATAAACCTCCAGTCCCTCTCCTTCTTTCAGGACTGGCTGGCTTCCCTCGCCTCCTTCCAAAGCCCTCCACCCCAACCTGGCCCGGTGTTCCAAGTTTTCTGGCTAGGGTTCAGGATGGACTAAGGAGTTCCCAGAATGTCTCTGTAGGCTTCAGGGGGGAGGCTTGGCAACTGGAAATTGTCAGCCGTCTCCTTGGCAACTAGCAGCCAAATAATTCTGGGAATGGGGGAGGGAGGGGGAGCTGCATGCAGGGCAGCCAAGAGAAGCAACCTTCAGCCCCAGAAAACTTCAACTCCTCATTACGTGTGCCAATTGGGTCCTGTCGAGAGACAGAAACCATGCATTAGCTGAAAAAGAACATTTAACATGAGGAATTGATAACGAGGCCTAAGGTTAATTAGGCAAGGGGAGGGTAACAAGAGAAGGCTGGGGTACAGGGAAGCCACACCTGCAAGCGCACCTCCCAGTCTCAGGGCTGGAAAAACCAGAGGAGAAGGTTTCAAGGAAGGGGCCTCTGAAGAGGGACTCCACTCAGCTGGCGGTGGGGTCCTGGAGTGAGAAGGACTGGCTTGCAAGCCCAGACCTTGGAGCAGCTGCCAGCTAATGCTGGGGTCTCTTAGACAGGAGTATAGGGTGGTTGCGGGTGGTAGGGTAGATGATGAAGATACAAATGTGGAAAATCTGCAGACTGGATTCACCTGATGCTGTAGGGTGGGCCTGCAGCTGCTGGGATGAAGAAGGCGCCATTTGGGTGCTACTTGCTGGGAGCACTAATAGGAGCTTGTTCAGCCTTCCGCTCCAGCCTACACACTCCCTCTAGTGGCTGAGACCAATAAGGAGCCGTGGCAAAGCAGAAAGGTTTACAGGGCCCAAGCTCTGTGTAGAAGAATATAAGCTTGGGGCTGAGAAACAGGAGCCTTGGGGTATTATTTACCGTGGGCCAGAAAGTTGGGTCTTTCAACCTTGTTGCTTATAGAAAGAACAATGCTGTGCCATGTAGGTGTTGATTCCTGAAGAAGCTCATACGGTGTGGACAGCCCAGCCCGACCGGGCTTGTTTTGGAGGGTTACTGGCATTCACAGGCTCTGAAAGCTGAAAAGAATTTAAGCTGTCTTTACATTTATTTTTTAAATTTATTTTAAATTGTGTGTGTCTGTGTGAGTGCTCCCACAGGTGCCCTCAAAGATTAGCGGTGTCAGCTTCCATTGGAACTGGAGCTATAAGGAATTGTGAGCTGCCTGCTGTGGGTCCCACTGAACCCGGGTCCAATGGAAAAGAGCAAGAAGTGCTCTTGACTAACAGCTGAGTCCCACTCATACATATCATATGTGTTTGTGTGTGTGTGTCTATACGTTCACACATGCCTGCACCATGGCATGTGAACTTTAGAGGACTTTTGGGAGTCAGGTTATCAGGCTTGGTGGCAATCTTATCCTCTGAGCCATCTTGCAGGTCCAAGAATTTTTTAATAGTAATGATAAAAATAACAGCAGCCAGATGCTCTCTCCTGAGGCAAAAATGGCCTTAGGAAAACAATAAAATCACTTTGAACAAATCATATATTAAAAGTAAAGACAAATAGAAAAAGACAAGATAAATATCAACTCAGGATAGAAACAGAACCAAGTCCAGACATACATACCAATGCACACAGATTATAGGGAACCATAAAGGTGGTATTTCAATCACAGCTTATTCAAAATTATGCAAGCACAACTATGTCTGCATTTAAAAAAATAGTTGAGTTTTCTACCTCACCTTATTTTAGAGAGAAGCAAGATTTAAACATTTAAAACATTTTCATGAGAAAATGATATTAGGCAACTATATAATCTAGAGTTTGAGATTTTTCTAAACAAACTAGAAAATCTGTAATCTATGGAGCAAAATATAGACAGCAGATATAAATAGACCAAAGGAAATATTTCAATATGTATCGTGAATAAAAGGTTAACATCTGTACTATACAAAGCAGTCCTTGGACTCATCAGTAAGAAGGAACTATAATCTAGCAGGAAAAAAGGGCAAAAGACACAAATAGGTCATTTATAGAAAAGAAAACCCAAATGGCCAATGAATTTATGAAAAGATGCTTTACCTCATGAATAGTCAATGATATGCAAATTTAAAATATATGATACCTCTTCTCATTTGACAGTAGACTGAAATTTCAGAATGGTCACACCTGGTGCTGGGGAAGTTGAGGTTCTTAGAAGTTATGGATAGTGCCTCAGCCTTTTAAGAACGGTACCTATCAAAGCATATGAAAATAAAAATATGAATCTCTTTGGCCAATTTATATGAAGTCTGGGAATTAAGCCATATGGAGAAAAAAAAGCAAGATACAGTGTGTGTGTGTGTGTGTGTGTGTGTGTGTGTTTCACAGTGTAGTAATGGCATAGTGATATGTGTATGCATGTTCACATGGGCACACATGCGTGTGCAGGTGTCCATGTGTGAGCATATGTATGTGGATGTCTTAAGTGAGATCCAGCTTGTTTTTTGAAGCACTGTTTCTCACTGGCCTGGGGCTCACTAAGAAGGCTGGACTGTCCAGTCTCAGAGCTCCAAGATCTGTGTCTGCATCCCCAGAGGTGGGATTAAAAGTTCAGCTTTTTACATGAATTCTGGGCATCAAACTTGGGTTCCCATGTTTGTGCTGCGTTTCACTGATTAAGCTGTGCAGCCCCCATATGATAGACTATTATGCAATTATTAAAACAATAAGTCTCAGAAAGGCAAATGCTGTATGATTTCCCTGATATGAGGTCCCTGGAGGAGTCACAATCGCAGAAATGGAAAATAGAGTGGTGCTTGCCAGGGCTGGGAAGAAGAGGCAGTAGGGAATTGTTTAACTGAGAGAGAATTTCAGCTTTGCAAAAATGAAACATCCTAGAGATGGGTTAGACAACCATGTGACTATACTTAAAACAATCCTGTCTCAAAAAAAGAAAAAGAAAAAGAAAGCATATGCAAGATGGCAAATTTTACTTTACATGCACAACACAAATTTTTAAAAAGAGCAAACTGAAGTGGGTTTTTTTGTGAGGTGAGAAAACCAACTATGTGGCATTTATAAAATAACTGACAATAAATGTAAGCAAATGGCTGCTGGGTAATGGAGACCTGCCAGCCTTGAGGATGTCCTCTGGTTACATGGTGCTTTCCACTTGCCTCTCAGCCCGGTGCTCCAGGTAGAAGCTGCAACTGACTTACACTTGCTAGCTCTGTCAACATCGGTGGCTAAGCACCTTTTAAACAATCTCCAGCCCTGACGTTCCCTCCTCTCAACCCCTACCCCCATGCTAGGCCCCCACAGGCTCTCCAGGGCCAGTGGAGGTCCACAGCTGTTTCCAATATTCTACACAAACTTTATTGAAATGAGAAGCCCCGTTTATCATCCCTCAGGCCCAGCTCCTCCTGATTAGGTGCAGATGACCTGACAAGCAGTGGGAGGAGCCAGCAATCAAAGAGGAGACTGTTTTGAGCCTGGAGGTGAGAGGGGCAGAAGTCTGGGGAGCTGAGGAGAACCCCGAAGGGAGTCCTAGGCAACCCGGGGAGGATGGGTGGCATTCTCAAACAGAGGAGAAAGGCATGGTGGAGCTGAGGCGATTCAAGGGCCACTGCATGGTGGCTTCTCCTCTCTGGCCGTATCTTCCCTTACTGGCCTCCTAACCTCTTTCAAAAGGCATTTCCTACGTCATCAACATCTTCCATTTCAAGACAACCATTGACTAACTGCCCTTTACTTTCAGCATGATGCCCTGCTGGAACACCCTTGTGGGTCTATGGAAAAGGACATGTTTTTCTGCTTGGCCTCTCCATGATTCCGCTCAAATGCTGAAAATAACCTAGACAATCAAAGGTCTTGGATGTAGGTTCAAGGGGACACTGGGGCGGACTGTTGGGTGTATAGAGTTCATTAGAGGAGTTATTAACAGCACAGACAGCAGCATGGAAGGGCTCTTAGGGGAGGAAATCAGGACCCTTATGATGCTGGGTGCGGGGGTTGGGGGGGGTTCTTCTTCTACTTTCTGTGGATGGGGGTAGTTTCCCAGTAGAATCCTGCAGCCAAGCTCTTTGCTTCCAGGCTGGAAGCAGGTAAGGTTGGAACAGGAGAGTGTGGCCACCAATACCACCTTTAATGTGAACTCACTTCCCCGGGTGAGAAACATGGACAACTGCTAGCCAGAGATTCACGATGGGCGTTTCAGTAGGGTGTCCGTCATGGTATCTGTGAAAGGGTAAAGGCTGCTGTGGAGATACTATGGCCTGAGCAGGAGCTGTAATCTAACAATGCATCCTTCAGATAGTGGTTCCTACGTCACACTTACATCTCGGAAGTGGCTGTTCCCTGGGCAGTGGCCCTGACCAGTGGCAACTCTAGGTTATGCAAGGACATTCTATCCCATGCTGTTGTAACATGGTAGTCCATCTCCAGTTGCAGCCATTTAAAATGAAAATGGAAAATGGAGTTTTTAAGTCACTATCACCACATTTCAAATGCTCAGTTGTTGCAGTGCAGTGATGACTCAAGAAACAGAAGCAAGCAGGGCATGGTGGTGCATGCCTTTAATCCCAGCACTCTGGAGGCAGAGGCAGGCGGATCTACAGAGTGAGTTCCAGGACAGCCAGGACTACACAGTGAGGCCCTTTCTTGAAAAATCAAAACCCACAAACAAAACGAGAATAAGGACAGGTCTCCTGTTTCACCCTGCTTGCAAGCTAACAAGAGGGAAGATTTGCCTTAGGACTGACAGTTATAGTAACTGCCCTTCAAGCATTCAGAATATAGTCAAGGCTTCTGCTTAAAAACTAGAGGTGTGTAAGAGACCTGTAGAGAATTGTTCCTCAACACAGTGCAGGTGTCGAGCTTGTCTGTCACTGCAGAATATTCTTGAGAGCACTGATGTGGGCATGGGGAATGCACTTATTTCCTGGGTTCTCCTCTCTCTCCTGAATTCTGACCCAAGAAGTCATAGGTAAGAAAGAAATGTAAGTTGGTATTTTGCACTGTAGTATGTAGATTGCAAGGTGTTTGCCTTCATGCAGAGGCCCATTCACATTGTGCTTTCTCTTTCTCAGACAAACCATAAAAGGCTGTGTCTGATTTCATGAGCTGTGTCTTCACAAGGACCCCGAGAGAAGGGGCAGGGGTCTGAGTACTGCAGGAAGGGACTGGCAGCTTTGACAAAGACTCAGAGAGAGGATAAGCAGAGCGATGCTGGAGTTGCTGGGGCACACACAGAAAACAACCAGAACACTCTAAAGTGGTCAGTACTGGCTAAGAGTTCTCAGTGGCTACAACAGTCAGTTGGAGGTTTTGAGAGAAAAGATAATTAGGCCTCACCCCAGGGTTTCTGATTTAGGTGGTATGTTCTGGGATCTATGAATTTGTAGTGTGTGTGTGTGTGTGTGTGTGTGTGTGTGTGTGTGTGTGTGTGTACACATGTGGAGGCCAGAAGTTGAATTTAGTGACAACAGCATCTCGTCACTGAACCAGCAGTTCACTGTTTCAGTTCAGCTGGTGCACACCTAGCCTTTATAGGGTGCTTGGCGATCTCAGCTCAGATCCTCATGCCTGTGCAGCAAGCACCTTCACCACTGAGCCACCTTCCGGTTCCGGAACTTCTGTTTCTAGAGCATTCCCAGGTGGTGCTGAGGCTGCTGCTCTGGAGTCCACACAGAGAACCACTGCTGGTGTCTGGTCTGTACCCTGTGTTCACTGACCTGGTCACTCCAAAGAAAAACTTCTGTCTTACAGGATTTAATGCATGCTGATGTGAGGATGCATTTCCCTGGACACGTAGAAGGGAGACCAGCAAAGATGGCCAAGCAGCTGAGGAGTGATGGAGGTTTGGGTAGTCCTGATGCAGGAGCGATCTGAGCAGGCCACAGTCTGCAGGAGGGTCACTCATTGCCATTTGTAATTCATTTGTAAAATGGCACGAAGTGGCCATAGTGCTTCTCGGAACTCGCTCATTTTCTTCTAAGCTGGCACCATTCCTTCTTTGGACTTCTCACAGTCATGGGCACACGCTGAGTTACCCAAATGCAAACAACTGTAACCATTCCAGGGCCC